CGCTCTTTCCATTAGAGGCAACAGGGGGAAGAAGAATGAAGACAATTTATCCAGTGAAGTCTGCATATTAGAATATTCACTGAATTTGAAAGAGGGAAGCATGACCTTGTGAATTACAGCCTGACATAAAACTGGGGAATGATGCATATACACAATCAAGAGGCTTATTCAAATCTGATGATGCAGCTGAATAATGGCAGGCGTAACTCGTTTAAGACAATAGTTCATACGGGCGAGTATCAGGAACAGCTTTTGCAATATACTGCAAGCCAAAATCATTTGTGGATACATTATTGGAGGTTTTCGTATGTGTAAAGCACAGTAATCTGAACTTCAGAAATTTCCAGTCCTCACAGTTGGAGACCGAGGCCTCCTGGGGTGCTGAAAAAATGATTTACCATAATCAGGAGGGGGAAAAACAAGCCTTGTGTGCGTAAAGTCTATGTGCCGTAGACAGAAGCTGATGTTGCATATCACTGAGCACTTGATTGACAGATTATTCCTTTCTCTCTGACGTGACTGTCAATCATCTTTTACTTTAGATGATAATTACGAGAAAGTTACAAGCTATGATTGAGTTGTCTACAGTCGGACTGAAATCATTCTTTGGACCGATAAATTGGATTACCAGGTTTCATCAAACATCAAAATCATGTAAGAAACAAACCCCAACAATAAAAGTGTGTGATCTACAGTACTGGAGAACATTGCTTAAACGCTAAAAGCAACTGAACAAATATTAAGCTGTAAGTATGGACCCATGGTTCAATTCAGAATGGGGTCTTTCCTCAATTCCATTCTCTCTCTTTTACTTTTAAATTAAACCTAAATGATTTCCGTCGTTCAACTTATATCATAGTGGTCATGAAGTACAAAGTTTATTGTACTATAAAAATATTCTGTGAGTTTCGGAACTCAAAACTTTCATCCCTAAAACATAGCCCTATATTCGTTTCTGGAGATTGCAAATTATGTAGCCAAAAATACATATGGCGGCATATCATTTTTAAAAGGAATGATACAGGCAGTGTGACGCGATTCCTTTTTGTGCTTACCAGCTGAACGCTTACTTCCATATGGACAGCTTTCCAGCTGTTACCAGTTTGTTTAGTAGCTCGCCGTGTACGTCGGTGGACTTAAGACACAGAGAGGAGTTGACCATGATGACATGGTTTGAGTCCGGTGAAGAGCGCTTCCAGAAAATGGTTGAGACAAAACCAGAAGCCAAAAAAAATAAATAAATAAAATAACAGTCGGTCAGTCAATCAACAGTTAGTCAACAGCGGCCTCTGGTGCAGGCACAAATGGCACTCTCAAGAGAAATTTGAGATCTGAAAAAGCGTACACATCGATTTCTAGTAGATAAGCAGTAACAAAAACTGCAAAAAACATAGCTCCTGAGACGTATTTGGCACTTTCCAGAAATGTATATATAGGTACGTTTTCAGTATGAGCCAGGGTTTAAAAATGGCTTGTATTCTGTGTTGCTGTACAGCCCAATATGTGTTAGATCCAAGACCAGATGACGCCAACCATAGACTTCTAGTGGCATCCATAATCCTGGACCAGGCCGTATCCTGAGCAGATGCTGCGAGGGTTATGGAGGAGTGGAGAGCATGAGACCTTACTGAATTTCCTGGAAGACCTCAGTGACAGATTAGTCTCCGCATTGATCCTGTGGCCAGCCTGAACACCCCTAGAGAACTACACACACCTACATGTCCTTCACGATGAATGTCCAGCGTTCTCCAGCCTCTGGTTCCTAGACTGCAGCTCTGCACAAGAAGTTTGGCCAGAGGAGAAATAGTCGTGCCCAACTGAGCCTGACTTCAAGTTTTTTTTTTCCTTCACTTTGGTCAGTTGGTGAAGTTTTGACTTGTGGAGCTGCGCATCGAAAACTTCAATTCTGAAAACTGGACTGACAGTTTAAATTTACTAAAACTTCCATGTTAAGTTGCTTTGACACAATAGTAAAAGCGCTATACAAATAAAGATTAATTGAATTGAAGTTTTATTTATTTATGTTATTTTATTTATCTTATTATTCTTATATATTTATTTTTGTTTTGCCCTAAATATTGTATTTGATGTAAAAATATATAATTGTGCTGTTTTATTTAGAGAGGATGTGAACTAATTTGTTTTCTACTGATTGGAACAATTAAAGTCTTGTGATTCTTTGTACTCATTCTGAAAATCTGTCTAATATGTATCAATAAAACAGTGTTAAACTAAAAATAACTTTCATAGAAGCCACTCAAATATGACAGGCTGAATTGACAGGTTGTGCAATATGACAGTTTAATACATAATATTGTGACTAAACCCCGCCTCCACCTAACATCAAAACCCACTTCCACATCATTTAACTCCACCCACCAATTCAGACTTCAGGTCACAATACCAAGCTTTCAGAAAGATTGAAAAATCAAAGAAAATACTGTGCCAATTACATCAGATCCAACAGCACACCAGTATGAGTAAATGCTTTTATTACATGTTCACTATTGAGTTGTCGGTCATTACAGATTGTTTGGTATTTTACTCAGTATGAGAGTGTTTTAAACCTAAATCACAGCACAGAGTCCATCTATGCAGTAGGATGTCAAACAGCTACTCATTTCAACTTTTGAAAAAGCTTAAATACGCAAACTAATCCAACCATACCGTTCATTTACTTGAGTTTACAAATCGCCATGCATATATAAATAGCGTGTTCTGATAAACAATACAGAAAATAGCAAATTGCTTCAAAATGATACACAGATCTTAACATTACAATTAAACCTCAGAGAACAGTAAATAATCTTTAAAAACTAATTTCATGGATGCTTAAATAATTTGTCTGTCTCTTTATACTATGTGCAAATAACCTTGTTGGAAGAGGCTCTATCACTATTTTCAGGTTCAGTGTCTGTTGAAGCTTAGGAAATTTATCTTTAATCCAAACAGCATTTGACTTCTGTTTACACTGTGAAAAGCACCTATAACTATTTGTTGCGTAAGTGTAAACAAGATGCTGTTTGTTGACACCTACACTTGGTTGCAAGCACTATTTTCAATCTGTATCTACCAGCAGTTCATGATGATATTGATTTTACGGACATTTCTTGTTTACTTTGGGGCAGTTCTGGGTCACCAATTATTTTCTCCAGCAAATGCAGCGAAGAACTGATTTGAAGTATTTCTATTTTACCTACAGTACGTGTAATAAAATGTCCTCAGTAAACTGATGACAATGTAATCCCAGAAATATAGGAGACTGCTTTAACCCAACACCCAAAGTGTATCACTGACTAAAATAAAAATGTTCTTGTAAAAAGTCTCCAAAGCGAAAGGAAATCAACAGATCAAAAACACAAGCAGTTCTAACACATCCGGTCAGACAAAAGCTAATTGGAATTTTCTGTAAGAGGCTTTCTTGACCAATGTTAATTACATCTTTGAAAGTAAACGTTTCTGTTTTAAAAAGGAGGTCGTGAAATGAGAAATCGAATTTCCCTTGATCTTTTCACATATAAGAGGTCAATGAACTATAAAACATGCTGCAAGTTTCAGAACTCAAAGCTTCATTGTTAGTCTAAACAAAAGCATTTATTGTAACCGAGCTACCCGAATGGCTCATTTCAGGTTTAGGGCTCTATTTTAATGATCTAGGCGTAAAAGTCTAAAGCAAGTGAGTTATGGGTGTGTTTTGAGCATGACGTGCAATAAACCAATCAGAGTCCCATCTCACATTCCCTTTAAGAGTCAGTTACGTCGCACCATGGCGCATTCACTATTTACATGGCAGACTTTGTGAGTGGAAAAATTGATAGCTTCACTAGTGAGTTAACTGTTTAACACACCATCTGCGTAAGGATAAAGAATGAGCCTCCTCCATTTGGTCTCTTTACTTTTACTCTTTGCTTCACACCTATTATTTCATGGATAAGGAAATGGTGTTAAACTCACTCCACTGAAGACATCCATTAGCGTACATATTTAGTTTCATTTGAAAAACTGAGTTTTATCCAAACACACGTTTTATCTTTATGCCTCATATGGTGTTGCATACGTCTCCAAAATCCGACAGGTGGACAAATCTTAACTTGTTTTTAATAAAACAAATATAAATATGCATATAATAAACAATACTACAACAAATAATAACATTATACAAATGCTAATTATCGTGAATAAACTGAAAAAAGCCCCCTGAGAAGAGGTATGGAGGTAGTGGTTTTATATTAATGTAAAAAACAATCATTTTTGTAACATTTTAATCCTTTAATTTTTTTCATATGTAAAGATATGTGTATTACTGTACATACAGATTGCTTAAGACACAGAGGAAGCATTGGACTTTAGACCTGCTTTTAGTTGGTCAATAGCATGGGTCTATTTCAGTTCCTTAAAATAGCAAAGCATCAACAATGTGCCTTAACACACCTCCTTTTCACACTAGCACACTCATGAGTGCACAAAGTGGAGCAAATAGATTTGCTATTTAAACAACGTGGTGCAAAATTACTGTTGCGCTGGTCTAAAAATAGCAACAAATCACACCGTGCACGTCTTGTGCTTTATTGCGCCAGGTGTGTGAGAGGACCCAAAGTTTCTATTTGACAGAAGATGATAAACAACTTTTTTAGCCCCACCCACTGGTTCACTCCAGTAGTAAATACAAAATGCAAACTCAAGCAAAAAAAAAAAAAAAAAAGACTTACACAAGGATTAAAAGATTACCTGTATAGTTAAGAGTGTCAAAAATTTAACAAAACATCAATGAAAGGGTGAATAACATAACAGAAAATTGTCTAAATTATCTAATCGAAATAATTTTTTGATGCAAATAAATTATAAGTGGATATTTGACATTATAAAATTAGCTGTACAATCATCACTCACGACCACACTGTAAAATTGCAAAAATATCATGTAATATAATAGCAGGTTCGCCATTAATGGGTACGTAACGTATATGGTAATACTCTGTGAAACAAGAAGTTTAATTTTTACAGTAATATTTCAGTGATTATCAATCATCTTTTGCCTAATATAATAATTATGAAAATGTTTCTAGATGAAATGAGTTGCCTTCAGTTTTTAATGTTTTACCACACAATTTACTTTAAACACAAGTTTAATATAAAAATAGCTCCATGTCATTCTTTTTTAAAGAATGTACACTACAAAATGAGTGGCTTTTTTACTTGCATATTTAAGTTGAATCAAAATAACGTTGTCATTTCAAATATCGAATTAAACTATTAAAATCTTGTAAAACTCAAAAACAAGCTGAATAAGTTAAACCATTTGAAGTTAAAGTAAAATAAAAACAGAAGTTGCCATAACTTACTGATCACAAATTTTTGCAGTGAATTTTAATAGGGAAAGACTTTAACCTGCATGCTGCTGTAAAAACATAATTAAAAAATCTTATCTAATCGTATCTTTAATGTAAAATTGCATATCTAATAGAACATTTCATGTAATTTTACAAAAAATATTTACAGTAAAATTGTAAACGTTACAATAACTACATACACAAATTCATAGTTTTTTTATTATATCTTTTATTATATCTATTTTTAATGTATCATGTTATATCTTCTGCAATATTGGATTCTAGTACATTAGGCTGTTGTTTAATCTTTTAATAAAACAATTGTGCTTTACTATGAAGTAGAAGTTTTCTCCATAAAACTAAAAATTCACCATAATTGTTTCTGCACACTTTTTTTTTTCAAGATATAAACATTTAAAATGTTTTTTGGCATAAACAACATCATGAAACTCCAGCTGTTACCTGCTTGTGTCTGCAGAGGTGATGGCGATGAGCGGAGGAACTCTCAGGGGGAGGCTGGTGGGTCGAGGCTGGACCGTCTCCGTCTCTGGTCTCCTCTCACAGTAATACTGCTCAGCCTGCCTAAAGGCCAAAGGGGGAAGCTGGACAGTCCTGCACGAAAGCCTGCGCACCGCAAAGGGCTCCATGCAGGACAGTGGACAGGAGTCTGGGGACTCAGTTGAGCAATCCGACACCTGAAAGGGCGAGAGTCCTGATTAAGAGTAATTTTCTCCAATGCATTATCATTTTAGAGCACTTATGTGTGAGAGACCTTTACCAGAAATAGAGATTAAATAGATCATGAGTCATACATATGTGAAACTGAGAGAATGAATCAGTCCACATATGAACTTTCAGACTCTTTTTCACACAGAGAATTGAAGTATGGATTTTATTCTACAATTATATCTGATGGATTTTAAAAGTGATTTCCCTTGAATGTGGGAATGTATTCATATAAGGGTAATGGACCGTTTCATTTTAATTTCATACTGAATGAATCACCTGTGTTTCATTAACCTTGATTCAGCTTGAATATATAAATTATTTAAATAATACTGAAGTCACTTTAACTGTAAGATCTAAGATCAGCCCAAGAAGCAATATGGAAAATATGCCAGGATCCACAGTACTACTGTATATTCCAAAATCTGTAGGAAAAAACCAACAGCATAATTATTTTAATTCAATACAATTATATACTGTATTTTACTTACCTATTTATGTTTCACATTCATTTTTGTGCCATTTAAATAATGTCTCAGTTTTTGTAAGACAGTGCTCGGTATAAATGAGTACACCCCATTTATCCATTTCTCAGTGAATATAGGCGTTACATTTTGGTGCATTTAAACAAAACAGATTTATTAAATTGATATATATATATTAAAATAATATTTTAGTCATCTAACATATTAATACAATTCAATTTATGTGAATGATTGGAAAATAAATACAAATTTCAACAAAATATTATATATTTTTTGTGTCTTTTGAAATGTTTCTTTTTATTTAATATATTTCCCTAGCATTAATTTTGGACCGTTATCATGAGTTATTTTGTTGGATTAGCTCCAGATTTGGCTTCGGTAATGATTAGGCTAATGTATATGCACAAATATAATATTGTAATGCTTCCTATAGAAAATTTTCATTTAAATAAAAGATTTGTGAGGGGTGTATTTATATATGAAGAGCACTATATATATATATATTTATATATATATATATATATATATATATATATATATATATATATATATATATTTTTTTTTTTTTTTTTTTTTTTTTTCCTAAACTTTTAACACAGCAAAGAGTAATACTGCCTTTAAATTCTATAAATTCTAAGCTGCATAGAAGTGTCTTGAAAAATATCTAGTCAATTATTATTTACGGTCATCATGGCAAAGATAAAATAAATCAGTTATTAGAAATGACTTATTAAAACTATTATGTTTAGAAATGTGTTGAAAAAAATCTTCTCTTCGTTAAACAGAAATTGGGGGAAAAAAGGAGAGCTAATAATTGAGGGGGCTAATATTTCTGACTTCAACTGTGTATATATATATATATATATATATATATATATATATATATATAAATAAATATATATATATATATATATATATATATATATATATATATATATATACATACACATACATACATATATATACATACATAAATATATATATATATAAATATATATATATACAATATATATACTATATATATATATATATATATATATATATATATATATATATATATATATATATATATATATATATATATATATATATAAATAAATGTATATATATATATATAGGTAATTCAGGTAAGCTCAATTGTCTGTAGTGTACGTGTGTGAACGTGAGTGTATGGGTGTTTCCCAGTGATGGGTTGCAGCTGGAAGGGCATGCGTTGCGTACAACATATCCTAGATAATTTAGCGGATCATTCCGCTGTTGTGACCCCTGATTAATAAAGGTACTAGGCCGAAAAGAAAATGAATGAATATACAGTATATATTATTATTACTAAATTAATTAATTATTTCCTGATCATTAAAGCCAACGTATGATTGAGAAGGCAGAGACATACAAACATGTCCCTAAATAGACATGCACACATTTTTTATGATAACTTAGGTTTGTCTTGGAAGGTTTATTATCCTGGATGGGAGACCACATGGGAAAACTAGGCTGCCGTAACTCTCTGTGGTCATTAAAATGCCTGTCCTATGGTTGCCGTTCAATAAAAAACAAAAGACTATTCACCTTGCATTTTCATTCGGAGCAATAAATGCTTTCAATATTTCAAGCATGAAACTGTAAAATATCCAGATAAAAAAGATCCATTTGCATCAACACTTTGCTCTCCTAAACCACCTACTGAGACACACTGGCTTGTTTCCGAAGAGCTAAATTAATTGTCGCTGAAGGCCAAAACTATTTTAAACTCTTCACATAAGACACCTTGTTTTGGCTTGAAGCACTAAGTGAACACAATTAAGTAATTAATAATGTATGAGATGATAAGTTTGAATGTCAACCTCCCGAGAGATGCATCTATAAAGCTGAAAACAAAGGGTAATTTCAATGTCAAAAATACATAAATAAAAAAGATGACGCAAATACATTGAAGACCTGTTGTTTAATCACAGGTACCCATTCATTTCGCCTTCGGTTGGAGATCTGAATAGGGTTTAGACTACAAATGATGAAATTATTTATCTTTCTAGGTAATTGAACTGCTTTCCACAGCGTTTTGGGGGAGCCACATAGTCAATGCCTGCAGAACAATGAGTGGGCAGCCTCTTTGTGTGAATCAATGGTGATTTTATGTTTTTTTTTTTACTTCATCCTGAGGCTGTTTGGAGAGCTGGCGTTTCTATATTAAATCGATATTGCCTTGTTGTATCCAGAGGGAGTGACGATTCTCTTGTGTGTCTTCAGTCCTCCCTTTTGATGATCACAACAAATAGGATGGGTGTTTATCACATGGTTCAATTCGATTTAACTCAAGTTTATTTGTATAGCGCCTTTTACAATAATTATCACCCAAAGCAGCTTCATAAAAAGTTCATATCATTACATTACAGTCAAAATAAAATAAAAAAATAAGTGGTTAGCACTGAGCCACTGTGAGCACCAAGAAGGTCGCTGGTTCAAGTCCAGGCTGGGTTTCCTCCTGGTCCACAGTCCATAGACATGTGCTATAGGTGAATTAAGAAATGGGAGTGCATGCAGGGATGGGCAGTATTTATGAAACATGTATTTCAAATACATATTTTATGTATGTTTTATATTTTATTTTATGTATTTTATGGGGTTTATGAAAATGGCTCAATATTTTGTATCAAAATACTTTAGTGTCTTGTATTTTGAAAATACTGTAAAATACTTTGTAAGAAGTATACATGATGACATAATGCAAATGTAGCCTTTGATCGGTGCTTTCTCAGTTATTTGCCAAGGCTTGAGATCAGAACAGAAAACTGATTTATATTGAAGACGCTGATCAACGCTTGGAGTATGGATGGAAATTATGCATCACATATAAAGAACGTAACAGACAAATAGCAGGAGTAGATTCAGGAGCAGGTCTAAATCAAGCAGGAAAAAACATTCTCCAATATATATTGCGATATGAATATATTTTCACTAGATGAGTTGAATAAATGTTTGTAAAGAATCCAAAATTTTATATAGATTGGAAAGATTCTTTAGAGAAGTGCATAAAATATAACAGACAACCTACAAGAATAGAACAATTCAATAAAGAAAAATATGCTAACTAAAAAAAACAGCATTTGATTGTTTTCTGAAAAGTCGAAATGTGTTCAGGTATATAGTGATTGAATAATTAAATGTAAAATAATATTGTCTTCATTTTGTAAACAGTTTTGTTAAAATAATTGTTATCAATATTTCAAAATTACAAACAGTCCATTTTCTTATGTCTGAATGGTTTTTAAAACGGCCACAGCTCTCAAAAAACACTTGCAAAATGACTCAACACTGCATACAGTATACTCGCGATGTGACTATAGTGAATGATCACATTGCGATATCGATGCTGAATCGATAAATTGTGCAGCCCAATCAGGTATTAACATAAAAAATATATACATAATTTCTATGTAAATCTTCATCACTGACTGACTGTGAAATAACTCTCCTTTGACTCAAGGTGAGATCAATAAATAACATCTCCGTCTACTCTCCCTGCAGTAGCTACGTCCCATGAAAAACGTATTAACTGCAACAAATCACGCTTCTTTACGGGGGAACACCCCCATCTTATTCCCAGAATGAAATAAGCAAACCATCAGCCGACTCATAAATAAATAATCAAGTAAATACGCAAACCTCTCATCCAATTACCAGCCCTTTCACAGAGGCGCTGAATACATCAACATTTTAATTATCATCACTGAAGCTTTGTAGTGCTTGGCTGCATTTGAAAGATTAGCAAATATGATTTCAGGAGAGAATGATTAAGGTGTCACATGAATAAAGACCGGCGCCCAAATGAGGTATTTTGTCAAGACAGATATGATGATATTTAATGAAATGACTTCAAAGCAGATTTTTTTTTTTTCTTTCTTCTTTTAATGTAGATTGTAATCGAAATGTTCGGAGCTGCTCAGTTAGTGTGTTAAAGCATTCAAGCACACTGAAAAAAAGATTCACTGGATTTAAGGTAAGTGGTTGCAAACAAATTATGTAGACTGAATTTAAACAAATTAAATTTAGTAATGTTCAACTTAATTTTTTTGTTTAAATTCAGTCCAAAAAATAGTTTGCAACCACTTAACTTTAAAAAAAATGTAGTAAATTGAATGAATAATTTTTTTCAGTGAAGACAAACAGTCTAGGTTATTTTCCGAAAAAACATCGTTAGCCAACACAGGTCGCAAGTTCTGTCGTTACAAGCATAGTTCATTTCCCAAATCCATCATTCCAATGAACATTCGCAAACTGCGTCACAAACTTGTACACTTAAAACTACAGACTCTAGAGCTGCAGTTAGAAGCATAGTTCCTGGCTGTGTTCTATTCCCAAACATTAAAAGTCATCTCTTTTAGGTGTAATTGGCTTTCAATTATTTCTTACAGTTCAGATTTAGCGATCTTCATATTGACAATTGTGTTCCCTTCGTAGTGCACTTTGAAAACATTAATCCCATT